GGGCTTCTTCAATGGCCAGAGTTTCAAACCACTCCATATATAAGTTGACTATAACTGGTAAAAGTGGCGATCCCATTGGCAATCCCTCATCTTGTGTGAAGAATTCGACCTTCAATTGGAAATAACAGTTTCGTACACATAATCCTAGTAATTCCATAATCACTTCTATAGGTATTCGTTCTTCCTTTCAGGTTCCCGTCTTCGGATAGCTTCGAATAGTTTCGTACACATCATCCTAGTAATTCCATAATCACTTCTATAGGTAGATTCGTTCTCCCTTTCAGGTTCCCGCCTTCGGATAGCTTTCTCTGTATGATTAGGTGTGCTTCTTCGACCGGAACGTTGGTGTAAAGGCTTTCCACGTCGAAGCTATTTGGTTGATCTTTCTGTGTGACTTCAATTGACCCTAGTAGTTTGACACACTTGCATACCGGTTTCGGGCTGTTTAGCCACTCGTTAGTGTCATCAAAATAAAGTCGCTAATTTCCGATAATTGAAAATTGAATTCCTTCAGATTATAGTGACACCTGTCGGATATAATCCAACGCCCATCACGGTATTAGCCAGGGGAGTAGTTGTATTCTGATAGGTGTCAGTCCATTGATCTACAGTGTAGATAGTATGTCTACTGACTGTATGCCATGTGAAATTAGTTACGCCTGGGACTATAGAGTTTTCCAGCAATTCCATGAAATGGAATAATTCAGTCAGATTTTAAAAACTCAAAAATATGACTGAAATATTGTCAAAGTTTAAAAATATTTCAGAGGAGTGCATTACGGATTATGGTCGATTATTAAAATGTTTCATTGTCCACCCCCCATTTATGCCGAATGTAATTCAACATGAAACTAAAAGCAGACTGGGATTTATTCAAAGCTGAATCATCCATTTTCAAAATTGAGGAATTTAAACTGGTTGAATATTGAAATAATTTAATATTCAAATTTTATTGTATCTAGACATTTATAATATTTGATAGTACTCTTGTTGGGATTGTGCTGATGAGGTGATTAAACAAATGCCTTGTCACAAAACTTCGAAGTACACCATTGTGGATGATAGTGCTTCCTGTAAGCGATATGTATATCACATTGTGTAGTGATCCTATAGATAAAATCCGTCTCAATTCCATAGAGTATTTTTCAGAAGTGTCTCACAGTTTTTGTTCGAAGATAGGGAAGTGGGTAGCTAAAACAGCTTCTTACCCAAAAAAACCCAACTCTCCTGAAAATATTTCTTTTTCAATTCGAATTTAGAGTGAATTATGAATGAACAGAAAGTTTTGTGGTTAATCCAGCTTGATCACATTTTGTCTTTCCTTGTTTCAAACAGAAACGATATACGACCCCTTCCCAAACATTTTCAATTTCAAATTTTGAATAGTTGGATACAATATCACCTTCATCACTAGAGGGTAACATTAACAGAGCGCAGTTGCCGTTGACCATTTACTAATAATAATTATACTTGTGATGCAGTTAGGATTGGAAAACTTTGGTGTAGTAATGAATATTACTGTAGGGAGTTTTTACCAACAGCAAACCGTTATTTCAACACCTAGACTCGTAATCATCTTCAAGAGGAAGATCAAACAGATCATATTCAAGAGGAATATCAAACAGTTTCTCTTGAAAATGATCACTTGGTGATCGAAACACGTGTCGAGGTGTTAAAATAACGGTTTGGTGTTGGGAAAAAACTTCAGTTATTTTCAATAATGATTATGATACTTTATTCCCATAAAGACGATGTGAAATTATACAACTTGAAGTTGATCATGAAAATTGAATAAGGCGATAATGAAATGAGTACATACAGATCTGAGAATTATTAAAAAATCTGCTAGTGTATACTAACAACTTTCTAACAGATATGCGCTCAGTTGCTCAGTTGCTTTGAAGCTTTCATATATTCGAAAAGATTATTGTACATTTTTGGACCAATGCATTCTGGTCCAGAATGAGTCACTTCTCATTGAGCAATTGGAACTGGTTTTCTAATCCCGTATCGTGGTGATGAATACTCTTACTCAATGTTGAGTTTGACCTATTTCAAAACATATCTACTCACACATTTCAAATATAGAGACTGATGCAAAAGTTGAAATACTATATTTTTGGAAACAATTTCTGAATGAATCGTTTTGAGAAATATTTGCCATGCATTATACAATGCGCAACGATGGATCAAAAACACCTTCCGTTCTGGTGAAAGTGTTTCAGTCTCAGACCCAGGACAGAAATATCAAACTGCCTAGGAACCTTTGCGACTGCATTTCGAGCGAAAATTTACGCTATTGAATTGTGTGCGAAGATATTGAAAGAATCCAACCTCATACACAAGTCAATGAAAATATTTTCGAACAGTCAAGAGGCGCGGCGTTGGAATTTCGTGGCTCCTACCAAACAACCTCCAAATTGGTAGCAGATTGCCAAACACGACTCTCCTCGATAGAAAGACTTGACAGATTGTCTCTGGTCTAGATTCCAGGCCATACTGGCCTGGAAGGCAATTAGGCTGCTGATTCCGTTGCAAAGAAGGGTGCTGCAAGCAGCTTCATCGGACCAGAACATGTCATTGACATCGCTTCAGGCTTTGCCAAACAAACATTGAACACCTGGATGGCAGAAAGATTTGAGGATTTCTGGCAGAATCTTCCAAGATTGGCTCACTCCAAGGCGTGTATTCACCCTTCGAAGCTTGATACCAAACAGTTGTTAGACTACAATAGCAATGAACTACGATGTCTAACAGGCCTTCTTACAGGTCACTGTAATTTGAATTATCATATGCAGAGACTTGGACTGTCGGAAAATAGTTTGTGTCGCCTCTTTTTGGAAAATGATGAAACAGCAGAGCACATACTTTGTACCCGCCCTGCTCGGGACCGAATCAAGTTTTTAAAGTTCCGCAGAGCCGTACTCTTACGATCTGACCTGAAAGACCACTCACCCACTGGCTTCGTTAAGAAGCTGAGTTTATTTGGTCGAGTGTGAATAGGTGTGAGCCACAATGAAACCTTGAGGGTTGCGGTGGAGGTTCAAATATACCCACTCACTCTGGACCTAACCTAACATAACCAAACAATGCGCTTTTGTGCAACGAATACATTTTATGTCGGAGTTGACACTACCCAGAAACAAACAGCATACCTAATTCTAGAGTCTACATGAGCATAGTAAATACTAAATAACTGAGCGCTAGTCAATACCGATCTGAAATTGATGAAAAGAAACTGTTGAGTTTGAGGTTAATTGGCAGACTCTATATGAATTGAATGATTGAATATATGAAGAAGTGAATGAGCATTAAAATGATGAAATGGTTTTGTAGTTAGAATAATTCTTAGGTTCACCAGTTGCAAACAGAAAGTTGAAACGATTTCTGCTCAAACAATCACAATTTCAAAGTCCGAATAGGGAGCTTATCATGTACAGAGTGGAGGGAAACTCCTGTTTTCAAACTGAATAGAGGGAATCTGATTGCTGTATGTGGGAATAAAATTTTATTACAAATTCGATGGTGGGAATCACATATCGATATCTGTCATCATTTTCGAGTTACAGCACGTTATCCGAAAATTTTCATTTTCGAAAAACCATCCACACAGCAATTTTTTACGTAGAATTCAATGTTGTGAAAAACTGATTTATAAAACGAGATATCAATAGTTAACGATAGAAAACTATTTTGTTCAATGAGACACCCTATATATTCCTGCATATGTCAGTAAAGCTTGGAATTACCTTTCCATAAATGCAACACATTTCATGTTTTAGTAAAGTCATCTTTAAAATACAGAGCTTTTCAGGTTTTTCCTTGTAGACTTTGAAATGCACTCTTTGATCAAGTAGGCTTTGAACGATGTGGTGATAAATCAGAATGAATGCAAATCTTTAGTGGTTGCTGTAAAATTTTGATTTGAGTTTTTTTTTCAATTTTCAAACACATTTGCAATGATTTTTTATTAAAACAACGATGAGAATACAATAAAAACAACAATGAAAATTATTTGGCGCTCCGGGGACTTCATTGATTCCAGTGGCGCATTTGCTTTTTCAGCTGCAGGAAAACCCGGAAAAACCTGCAGCACCACATCATTTGAGGATCTTGATCTAACAATGTCTTCTCTTTATGAAACAAAATGTAGGGTGTCTCCAGAGGCTCCAATAAACTCAATGCATCGCCAGAACACTTCGTGACACGACTATCGTCAAACTTAAACCAGTCCGTTTTTTCTTTGACCAAGGGGTAATAATGACCAAATTCAACGCCAGAACCACAGTGAACAATGACTGCATGAATATTATAATAGTGGTCTGCTAGGTTGAAATGTTCATCTATTTCGAACCTTCCAAATAGTTTCTTGCTTCCGTTAGAGGTTGAGTCTTGTTTGAAAATCATTAGTGTTATACAATGTATGTGAGTATGAGAATTATGAAAAATTGGATATGATAGTCTGTTTTGTACACAACCTGATTGTTGGCAGTCAGTTAATCTTTCAAATGATCATCTTCAAGAGGAAGCCATCATCTTCAAGAGGAAGATTAATCTTTCTCTTGAAGATGATCACTTGGATATCGAAACACGTGTCAAGGTGTTAAAAATAGCAATTTAGTGTTGGGAAAAAACTCCAGTAATATTTATTATTCAAAAACTTGAGTTTCTCACACCTTTGAATTTTTGGTAAAAAAGTGCTCTGGAAATGTTCATAGAAACAAGAAATTTTTGGCAGGAAAAAGTTACAGCAACTTTTCGAAAATGCATATTTTCGAAAAACATGCCGTGACTCAGCAACGTTGATAGATATCGATATGCAGTTTTCACCAGACACAGACCCTCAGACACAGCCATCAGTTTTCATTTATAAAGTTTGAAAACAGGAGTTTCCTTTTGAAAGTGTGCAATTTGGCCCCCCAACTAACTATTTCGCCAGACAAAACCGTCATCACCAGAGTAACGCATTAACAAAGCACCGTTAGTGCTATCCCACTTACCGTCGACATTGAGCATGATGGCCAGATTAATTTTCGGCTCCGTGTTCACCTGGCACTCGTAGACGCCTCCATCGCGTTTCTGGACATACTCGATGCGGAGGTCCCAGTCGTCGCTGTGCTCTGGATGTCGAACGCTGAACCGGCCGTCCCCCGTGTACGTGTGGATCCCAGAGGTGAGGATGTGCAGGTCTCGCTTTCGCATCCAGGAAACCTGTAACGAAGTGTCGAGTCAGTGGTGTAGCTCAGAAACGAAGTATCTTCATTCATGTAATCACAACTGATGTTATTCCTGCTGGAAATGGATTTTTGAGAGACTGTGTTGAAAAAACTGAAATTTGACAGGAACTTTCCAGAGTAGCTCACAAACGTCGTGTCCAGAAGTTGACGTCATCATTCACAAGTGATAGAACTGAAACTGTGAATCATCTAAAGGAAAAATTCCTTCGGGCCAGACTTCCCTCACAGTATCTTTATGGTCTGACACCTATCAGAAAACAAATACTCCCCTGGCTGATACCACGAAGGGCGTCAGTTCAGGATTCTCCACAGAAGTAATTCCTGCATATGCTGTTGGCGATACAACTGCGGGAATCGACTTTTATTTATCGAAATACATTTGCAGACCCGTTCCGGGCTATTTGGACGACAAGCAACATATCTGCCATCGCCCCCACTACCTGGAGGCGTGGTTCTGAACAACCGCATATCCAAATGGTCCAAATCCTACTATAAGCAAAAAAATATAGCTTCAGTAGGTGGCCATACTCGAAGACTGGCTTCAAATCAAAATCGTCCAGGCCAGTCTCAGAAAACAATTACCCTCCTGGACGTTGGATTATATCCCAAAGGTGTCAGTGCAGGATTCTTCACAGAAGAACCTGTCTGCAAGTGCGCCTGTTCCAATAAATGAAAATCGATTCAGGCAGTTCCATCGCCGGCACGGCACTGCCACCTGTCAGATATATTCCAACGCCCTTCGTGGTGTTAGCCAAGGGAGTAGTTGATTTCTGATACGTGTCAGTCTATAAACCCACTGTGTAGGTGAGGGAAGGCCTGGATGAATTGTTCCTTAAGATAATTCGAATTGAAGCCAGTCTTTAAGAATGCCCACTCACAATAGGTGAAAACTAAAACTGCGTTTAGTTTTGTGCCAGGTGACGGCAGGAAAACGATTGTGGATACTAACAATCAAAACGTCTTGAAGTAGCTTAGTTTGGAATCTTTCAATTTTCAGTTCGTTTTGATCGTTCAATTTTCATTTTCTTGCTTAGTTTTCATTTTGTTATAATTCAATTTCAGGTTTTTTTTCGCCAAATTAAATTGTTATTTTCAGCTATTCATATTGTTTTAAGATGTTTTTATTTGTTCTTCCAAGGATTTCAAATCAAATTATATCATATTATATCAGACGAATGAACTTCAAGGATCCCATGGCAATATTCATTCATGATAATCAATAGGAAAGTAGTCATTTTTCGATATAAATTTGCCAGACGATACTGTGTGGACACTTCGAGAGAGGTGGATGCATCGAACGTCAATGAAAATATTTATTTTCTGGTACATAGGCATCTATCCTATGTGTAGAATTTCATTAGTTCAGACTTCCATTGTCTGATATTATGTAAAATGATTAGTAATCCCTGAAAGAACTAATAAAAAAGTACAATGGAAAATGAATAGCTGAAAATAACAATCATATTAGGTAAAAAAACCTGAAATGAAATGATGGTGAAATAAAATACAAGTAAAAAAATAGAACAGATGAACAAAAAAATCAAAATAAAATGAAACGTTAAGCCAAGCCAAGTTACTTCACTTGGCTTGAAATTTTTTGTTCATATTTTCTATTTTTTCACTTGTATTTCATTCCACTATCATTTCATTTAATGTTTTTTTGCCTAATATAATTGTTATTTTCGGCTATTCATTTTTGATTTTTTTTTATTAGTTTTTCATAGATTTCAAATCATTTTATCTAAAACCACAATCTCATTCAGTCGCTGAACTTGCCGGAACTCATACACATTTCTATGTTCCTAAACAACTAGCATTCGGGATGCATCTTGAAGTGATTTGGATGCATATTGAAGGCACTTCTGTCAAATTCAAATTACCTTGAATAATTCAACGTAATAAGCGCTTCAATCCATTGAACCTATAACGGATATTACCTGGGGAAAACAACTCTATTGTTGAGAGTTTGTGCTACATTGTACTAATGAAATCTGTCGGCAATCTGATAACCAATAGGAAATAAAACAATGAAGCATCTGGATTGTTGGGGGTTCACCAGAACACTTGAAGCTTCTATGTTACGTATAACTGATTCAAGAATGTAGAATAAAACCTTTGTTTAGCAGACATCGCTGAGATCATCACTATGGAATTTGATATAATCATTAAATTTTGAATATGTAATAGAATACTGACGGAAACGAAATTGAGAGACATAAAAAACCACTACAGCTCTAGTAATTAGGGCAATCTTTCAGATGAACTGGTTATCTGCATATATTGCGGGAAATATATTCGTCCAACCTCTCACAAACAAGTCCGATGAAGTTTAGTTAGAATATTTTGGGGTGAAACACAACAGAATATTGAAAGCTGATTTGTTTTTTGTCAATACGGTTCATAGATCGAAATTCACAGTTTAGTATGTGACAGAAATATACGTGTTTCTGTTTTTTTTTCTCACCATAGGTAGCAGCGTCCCCAGACCATTTTTGTTTCCGTCAGTGCCGCTAGTGCAGCCTGGCTATCTGTGGGAACATTGATTCCCTCATTTTGTTAAGGTCTCTGATCAATATCGGCCAGGCTATCTGTGGAAATATTGATTCATTCATTCTGTTGAGGTCTCTCATCAATCTTTCTTGCGCTTTGCAAGATGGCACACATTTCAGACCAGAAGATTGATGTGTACTGACCAAGCGGGTAACTTGAAATGTGATATCTCTTCTGAGACTAACCGCGTAGTTTTTCATTCTGATTCAGCTCACTCCTGCATTCCCAATGACTAAAAGTATGAAGCAGGGAGATTCGAAAGTCCCATCAAAGCATTCTTGAACACTGCGGATTTTTGCACCACCGCCCCCTTTTCCCTCTTCCTCGATTTTTTATATCATATATATCGCAGTGGACACTCCGGTAATATTTCCCTCCTCCTCTAGACTTGAAATCTGTACCAGTACCTTTTTGCAGCCAGTGAGTTGGGCTATCTATCGGGGGCGTCCCTAGGTGGTGGATAGGGGAACGGCCAGGGGACTGGAAGCCCTGTTCGGGAAGCCAATGTGGCCTTCCGGACGGGGGGCGGACTACTGGTTAGTGGCAGAAATAAGTAGGGTGAGGGGAACTAAAACTCCCCAAAAGTCTTTGCGAAACATGCCACCGTGGGCCAGCGTACCCAAACTTAGGTGTAAGGAATCGTGCCGACAGCTGAATGACCGCAGGGTGATATGCAGTTACGAACGATCCTCTTAGGGAACCGGGCGGAACCTCATTGTAATCTGCCTTCCTCTGGTAATGTGGAGCTCTGCCAGAGTGACCAACTCTTCCCCTGCTACTCGTGGGAACATACATGGATGAAAAAAATACAAAAACAGACACAGAAAAAACAAAAACCAATCCCGAGGCAGGACAGAAATGCTCACCTCAATCTATGGAGATAGCGGGGATGAACACAAATTTCTGCCACAATTTACCGCTCGGAATGAGGCTGGACATGGCAGATCACCTCGTGATATAATACAAAGGTCAAAGCGAAAGCGCATTTGCGGCACCGAGGCCAAAAGGAGAAAGAGAGCGATAGAGGCAGGAGTGGCAGCAACTAAAAGTGCACCCTCCTCCTCCCCCACTACACTTGCAACAGCAAGGGCACTTCCTGCGATGTGCGCCAAGAGCTCCGCCTTTCCGCCTTGAATATAGGCAAGGAACCGGCTGCCCCTGCAGGAAATCGCCCTTACTTGAGCACCTGCACGGAAGGTGAAAGAAGCCGCGCAACGACAGTAATGTCGCTGCACCTTCCAAAACCTTCAAGAAGGCCGCCGTGAGACCCCTCTAGGTTGCCGAAGAGAGTGTGTGTTCGGCGAGCCTTGGCGTTCACCTGCCGATATGAAGGAGATGTCTCCTAGTGGCCTGTCCGCCTTCCTGGAAAGGACAGAATGAACGACGACGTAGAAGGACAATTTCTCGAGAGGATGTACAGTGGGACACATGTGGCCTAAGTGCTGTGGGTCTACACTCACCCTTCCTACTCTACAGATACAGATTCCTCTTTTGCAGTAGTTCGAACTGCAAATATTCATCTTCTTTGTATTTTGAATGTTAAATGTCCGCTATGCAATTGCAATTCATTCACCCAACTCTTTCGTTATAATCGTGTCACGTTACCAGAAAATGTGACTTCGTTGCTAATAATACAACTATAGAGTACAATAAACGTTTCCATGAAACGTATCAGCAGTGTAGATAAAATTAAAATTGGATGATTTAATGTCGAATAATATTTTGGCAGTGTGGTTTACTCAGTATCAATAAATATATAGAGACATTTTTGATGTCAGCTCGGCGATGAAAATGATTGATAATTTTGAACATCATCTATGACACACAATTAATAAACCATTTAGGACCAAATTGAATTAAGTTTCACCCGTGTAATGACATCCAAACCATTCATGTAATTTTGTAGCCATTTCGTCCCGACTTTGATGTATTTATGTAATAAACTGCCATAATTTAACTCGATATTAAATTATTATGTATGCATAATCTTTCATGAACGATTGTTGGCGTGACTGTATTCGCTACATGCAATTCAGTTTTTTCATACCCTGATGCATGAGAATAAAAAAAGTTTGTGACCGTTGATTCATATGAATTATGTCCAATACGTGATAGAATTCAAAGGTTTATAGAAATTCTAGCTTTCGCAGCCAACAAACCTATTTGAAGAACCTACGCATCGATCAAACTTATGTTTAGTAACAGGTACTGCCTATCGATAGAATTGAAAAAAATAATGTGAGAGAGATCAGTGTTAGCACAATTGAATTCTCCAGATACTCTGTCTGAGTAATATCTGCCATTTGATAGGTAAAAGTTTGTCCAGATAAGAAGAGCAGAAAATTCTTTCTGATATCTTATTACAGAGACCATTTAGTCTGGGTCACAAGTTCTGTTTGTTTGGAACTTCAGTCCAAGGGCACC